ATTGCAGGTTTTTATAGATCTATGTGCATTCAGAAATGGCAGCCTGTAATGACATTGTTAAATGTTATTTTGCTACATGATGTGGTTGTGCTGCAGTCTTCTCGCCTTTTCTAATTGAAGCAGAGACAGAGAACTCTGATTAGAGTCCTGCTTCCAGCTCACTGCAGTACAAATGAGTGGACCCCCTCTTACATCATTTTTCCTCTACTCTGATATAAAAGTAAGTTGAAAAGTAAAGTTATCTCAATTTATCTCATATGTCATTTATTAAGAGCATATATATTATATATAATAAATGAGGTCAGACCAAAACAAACAATATGTATTTCACCCTGACTGATGTAGACACATTCACGCTGTTACAGTCGCTTGACTGAAACATCTTGTAATTATTACTTTTAATCTAAAATAACCCGCTCTAACACCAATCTTACCTACAAGAGAGCACGCAGCCTCCACTCCTCCGTTGTAGATGGATGATGTGGCAGATGGCTCTATATGGTCCCACATAAGCTGGATGTAGTTGAAGACCTGCACGTAACCAGCTGTGGCCAGAGCCCACCACAGGGACCAGTAGATTAAATGTCTGAATGGTGATAATTATGACAAGAGATTATGATGATGACTGTACAGCTACTTCTACTGTTTAAAAGAAGTACCCTATGAATACATTATAAAAATTTGGACCAATTAGTAGTAATCCCAGGTGTTAATTAAATGCAAGTGGGCACTCAAAGCATCTTAGTGATTTAAAAAAAATATTGAAAGAAAAAAATGCCTGGAAGAGTAGGACTCCCTGAAGCTTTGCCAAAGCAGATGAACTGCAGCGGCCACGTTTTCTCTGCTGCAGTAGCCAGCACTGCCATTATATTCCATCTTCCCTTTCCCCGAGCCTTCTCCATCCTTATCCGTCACTGACTCCTTCTCTCCCTGTGGCCCCTCTTGCTGGCAGTCTACTGCTGCAGCCTTCTTCCCTTTGAAGAACATGCTTGTCTGGGGCATGGGCAACCAGAATGAGACGAGAAATGCCACACTCACAATTCCCAGGGTAATAGTATTGATATAGAAGTAGTCCAGGCCTGTTGGTTACAATTGATCATTCATTAGTGCTTGTTTAAAGTTCAGTTCATAATTTTCTTTCTTGTCATGCATCAAATGTTATTTTTCATATTATTGTGATCAAATACTACGAGCCCATACCAGCAAGGGAGACAAGCATTTGGCCAAGGGTGGCGCCAAATGTATATCCAGCCAACATTGCACTGCGCAGGTAACCAGTAGCTCTTTGGTAATTCTCTACTGGAATTACACTGTAAATATAGGAAAAGTAGGCAACCTCCGTGGAAGTCACTACAGCATAGTTGACCTGTTGATGGAATAGAGCAGTTGTAAAGAGGCAGTAGATCATGATAAACTCTATTAAATGCATTAACAACGGTATGATTTAAGTTGTGATAACCGGAATAAATACAAAAGCTTTTAAAAGATTTCTTCAAGGGTAAGAAAGCGATCCAAACCTGCCCGGCCCTGTGTGAAAAAGATTGTGACTAGCTACATTTAACAGTAAAAATTGTTTGATGATCCGAAGGATGTAAGTGTGTCAAGTATGCAAAATAGTAAGAAATCAGGAAGTGGCAAAGTATTTTTTTTCACAGCACCTTTCACTCTTCATTCTTGAACAACAACAAGAAGTTTTTAACTGACCTGAAGGAAGTCATATAGCAGGAAGACCTGGGACAAAGCAACAGTATATAGTTCGGTGATGAGAAAGAACCCCTGTACTATAATAAGGGGTTTGTACCTCAGGAAGTCAGTCAGGAGGAAGACGGGGAAAAAAAGGCCAGGTAGGAATACGTCCAGATAGGAAACAGGTAGTTGGTCAGCTGGAAAACCACAAGCACAACAAAACAGTACTGATGATCCCATTTGTACTTCTTTTTCATGACATGCATATCGCACTGCTTATGAAAACTGATGCATGTTTATTTTTTTGTTTTGCTTCATATAAGTGCTGAATGTGAAACTGCAGAACAGAATTTGCTCCACTATCAAAGGACCTTGGATCTATATCGGACAATCATCCATCTAAAAGCAGTGAAGTAAGGTCTGAAAATCTGTTGGAAAAAGTAAAAGGCCACAGGGAAAGCTAAAGGCTAGGCCTGAAACTCTGATTGTGGCTGACTCTGCTGTAAAGGGATGTACAAAGGATGTGCGGTAAGAACACTAAAGTCCTCTTTCCTAAGATATGGTCAAACAACCTGATTGAGAGAATTCTTCAAATTGCAGATGAATATCCAACTGTGACAAACATTGTTCTGCATACAGGGTCCAAACGATGTGTCCAAACAACAGACGGAGGTTCTGAAACGGGACTTTACTGGATTATTAAATACTGTAAACTCTCTGAATGCAGCTGTATTCATCAGTGGACCTGTACCGCCTGTCAGAGGAGGAGATGAGAGATTCAGCAGGTTGTTTGCACTGAATAAATGGCTTATATCAGCATGTACTGACCACTCAGTGCATTTTATCAAGAATTTTAATATTTTTGGGAACACAGGCATCTGTTTAAAGCAAATGGATTTAATTTTAACAAGTCAGGGGTGAAACTGTTCACCTCCAACTTGTTTTATTCCATACATCATCCATCTGTGCTTGGTGCCAAGCACCAAGGCTGAGATAAACGAGGAGCTATCTCATAAAGAGGAACAAACAGTACTGCAAGAACAGACAAAGCCCAGCAGAAACCTTGAGGAGGAGCCTCATCTGCCCCTGGATGAGCTGCAGAAAGGAGAGACATCAGAGGCGAGAAGAGGGGTCCCTATTGCCTCCAACTCTCTCAACAACACCAACGACCAGGACCAAGGACCACGACCTTCCCCAGTCCCCCAACCCCTGACAGGCCATCACCCTCCTCCCCCTCCCTTTCTCCCTCCTCGCCACACCTGAAATTCACTGAGGAGATGATAGAGCAGGTCAATGCTGGGCTCAGATCTACCCCCCAGCCAAATCCCTTTTTGTCCCCCATAACCCCCCACCAGAGCAGCCAAAGGTTCGCCATCGGAGCCCCGCCCTCAACAGAGTAATCGAAGTTACATTGCCCAGCCTCGTCCCCCTTAGCTCCTCCTTACACCTTCATGCTCTGTCTCCGCAGTCTGATGTGTGATGTGTGGAGGTCCGGGCTGCGAGGATTATGGCAGTGGTGACTAGGGCTGGGCGATATTACCCAAAATTCATATCTCGATATTTTTAGCTGGATGGCGATATAAGATATATATCTCGGGTTTTTTTTTTTTAAGCCATAAGTTAAGAACAAAAAGAGAGTTCTTAGTCACACTGTGTCCCAGATGTCAAATGGGCATTTTCTTTACATACAGCGTAGATGTACATGAAGAAATTTACTCAAAATAAATTATCAGCATTTATTAAATAATCATGGTCCATAAATAAAAGAAAAACAATGTTGTTTTTGTGCATAACGAAAAGCTCACAATTGTGCAGTAAAAATGTAAACTAATAGACGCTGAGCGTAATAACAAAGAGACAGATTTCACAGCGTGCACCACGTCTCTGAACAGGTGCCATTTGTGGTCCTTATACACACACAGTACGGTAATATTACGTTGAAGCACAGTACGTATCACTCCGCGAGGCGGCTCCATCAAGCGGTGCAGCTCCGTAGCTTAGCAAAGTCATATTAAAACATTTTTTGACAGATTGCTGAGCGCTGTGTACCACATAAAATCGGTTCGCGGTCAGTAAGCACAACCAGAATTCATACATAAGGTGCACTGTCGATTTTTGAGAAAATGAAAGGATTTTAGGCCGTGCAGCCCCTCTGGGCTGCATGTCGTTAGCGCGGTTAGCTCGTTAGCGCGGTTAGCTCGCTAACACGTTGACACCGTCCAGCCCCACGCACGGGGCGATCCGAGGTAACTCGCTAGCGGAGATTTTCCTCTTTCATCTTGTCATTGCCTGCAGGTAAAGCTATGGGGGAGGGGGAGTTGTGTTCAGTGAAGGAGAGGCGAGGCCGAGTAACGTTGCGTAGATACATAAGTGGACGAAAGAGAGGCAAACCTGCGGCTCCACAAGTATAATTATAACGTAACATAGACTATATCGATATAAACGATATTGTCACATCTTATATCTCGTATGAAAATATATTGATATTTTTAAAAAACTCGATATATCGCCCAGCCCTAGTGGTGACTTTTCCCAGGAGAAGCTGGGTCCCTGTTTACTAGAAGGTTTTAAAATTTCTGTACTTTTAGGTGACAGAAGGAGACATGTGGCCTGGTCAAAACACAGAGAGCTGCACTCTAAAAGATCTTTAAATATAGTAAACATACCTTGTGTGCCACAGACTGCTCCCAAACACAAGGGGGCAAATAATACCTCTAAAACACTTAAGCTGGCTTTATTAAACGTTAGATCTTTAGCTGGGAAAACATTTTTAATTAATGATTTAATCACTGAGCACAGCCTTGATTTTATGTTTTTAACTGAAACTTGGTTGGACCAAAGTAACAGTGGAGCTGTTCTCATCGAGACGACCCCTCCTAACTACAGTTTTATCAGTGAGGCCAGGGTGAGCAGGAGAGGAGGGGGGTTGCTGTCTTATTTAATGAATCATTTCAATGTAAGCAGCTGTCTCCTGGAAGTTTTCAGTCTTTTGAATCTTTACAGCTGAAGGCCCCATCCAAAGTTGTGTTTCTTAATGTTTACAGGCCTCCCAAATACTGCACAGACTTTTTTAATGACCTCAGTGAACTGCTGTCTGTGATCTGATCCATGTGGACAACCCTCAGGACAAAGGGACTAAAGACCTGAGTAACACTCTGGGCAACTTTGGGCTGACTCAGCATGTAACAGAGGCCACACATAATAGAGGACACACTCTTGACCTACTGATCTCCAAGGGCCTGAGCATTTCAAAGGTTACTGTGTCTGATGTGGGCCTGTCTGATCATTACTGTGTTTTCTTTGAAAGTAAAATTTCAGCCCACACAAATATATCAACAGCAGTGATCACAAAACGGTGTATAACAGAACACAGTAGTGAGATATTTAACCAGGTCTTCCCCTTAACACCTGGCCTGTCCAGAGGTTCAGTCAATGAGCTCGTCAATAGCTTCAATGCTAAAATGTTAAATGTAATGGACACTATTGCTCCCATTAAGGTGAAGGTTATCTCTGGAAGGAAAAAGTCTCCACGGAGAAACTCCACACTAGTGAAAAATGAAAAAAGAGAGTGTAGGAAAGATGAGCACAGATGGAGAAAAACAAACCTCCAGGTTCACTATGACATCTATAAAGAAAACTTCACAATTATAATTTACAACTGAGGAGTGCAAGGAGGTCCTACTTCTCTGACATCATCACTAAAAACAGCCATAATGCTCGGGTCTTATTTTCTACAGTTGACAGGCTAACAAACCCTCCTGTGTCAGTGGCAGCTGAACTTCATTCGACCATGGCCTGCAATGACTTTGCCAAATTCTTCACAGAAAAAAAATCCAAAAGATTAGACAAGCAATTGGTACATCAACAGCATATTCAGGATATGTACCGTGTCCACTGAAAAACTGTTTAAACACCATGAAACAGTTTCACCCGATTAACAGCAAAGACCCGGGGGACATCTTATGTCAACTGAACTCCTCCTCTTGCTGTTTAGATGGCCTGCCAACAAGTTTTTTCAAAAAGGTCTCAAAGTCTTCGAGTCAGACCTGTTACAGATCGTCAACTTTTCTTTAATATCAGGCGTGTTTCCAGAACCACTAAAAACTGCTGTAATTAAACCTATACTGAAAAACGACAATCTTGACATGACACAAATGAACAACTACAGGCCGATCTCAAATCTCCCATTTTTAAGTAAGATCATTGAAAAAGCAGTTTCTCAACAGCTCAATTACTTCTTAAAACAAAATAACTGCTATGAACTGTTGTATAACTGAATTTCCCAGAGGAACCCACCCGAGAGATTAATAAAGTTTCATCTAATCTAATCTAATCTAATCTAATCTAATCTAATCTAATCTAATCTAATCTAATGATGCCTTCCAGTCAGGTTTTAGACAGAACCACAGCACTGAAACCGCTCTGACCAAAGTGTTTAATGACATATGTCTGAATACAGACAGTGGAAAAATGTCAGTCTTAGTTTTACTGGATCTCAGTGCAGCATTTGATACAGTTGACCACAACATATTACTCAAACGACTGGAGAACTGGGCAGGTCTTTCAGGAACTGTACTAAACTGGTTCAAAACATACTAAGAAAACAGGGAATACTTTGTATCAATAGGTAACTTCACATCTGAGCAGACAAGTATCACATGAGGAGTTCCCCAAGGTTCCATCTTGGGACCCCCTCTGTTTAACATTTACATGCTCCCACTGGCACAGATTATAAAGAACAACAAAATAAACTATCATAGCTATGCAGATGACACACAAATATATATCACAATGTCACCAGGAGACCGAGGCCCTGTACAGGCTCTTGGTAAATGTATTGAGGAAATTAATGACTGGTTGTGCCACAATTTTCTCCAGCTAAACAAAAACAAAACTGAGGTAATAGTCTTTGGTGCCAAAGAAAAACGATTACAGGTCACCAGAGAACTTCAATCTATACACCAAAAAACCACAAACCAGGCGAGAAATTTGGGTGTAGTGATGATGCAGACCTAAACTTAGAAAAACACATTAAGACAATAACAAAGTCAGCTTACTATCACCTCAAGAATATTTCAAGGATAAAAGATCTGATGTCTCAACAGGACCTGGAAAAACTAGTCCATTCATCTTTAGTAGGCTTGATTACTGTAACAGCATCTTTACAGGTCTACCTAAAAAATCAGTCAGACAACTACAGCTCATTCAGAACTCTGCTGCTCGAGTCCTCACTAAGACCAAAAAAGTGGACCACATCAGTCCAGCTCTGAGGTCTTTACACTGGCTGCCTGTCCGTCAGAGGATAGACTTTAAAGTTCTGATGCTGGTCTATAAAGCTCTGAATGGTTTAGGACCAAAATACATCAATGACCTCCTGACCCAGTATGAACCTTCCAGATCCCTCAGGTCATCTGGATCCGGTTTTTTATCAGTTCTCAGAGTCAGAACCAGACACGGAGAAGCTGCATTCAGCTTTTATGCTCCATATATCTGGAACAAACTCCCAGAAAGCCTCAGATCAGCTGAAACACTCAGTTTATTTAAATCCAGGTAAATCCAAGACTCACCTATTCTCAGCTGCATTTGAATAAAACACCAAATCTACACTTTTAAGCTTAAATTTCAAAACTTATATTTTAACTACTGATTCACCTTGTTGTTGAATTGTGGTATATAAATAAACTTGCCTTGACTTGCCTTGCCTTTTAATAAAAGACAGAAAGTGTGTCCGTAGTCCTTACCACTTCTTCAGAAATGTTCTTGCGTGGTCCAATAAGGTATGGTGTCAGGAAAGGTTCTGCAACCCTACAGTTTGCAAAAAATCCATAGAGTGACAGGATGGCTGTGGGGTAAACCCATCCAGATGACTTCAACTTGGCCCAGCACCCCATGTTAGTATCTCAGCGAGATTTCCCTGCTGTTTCCTTTTGTTTTTAGTTGCACTTCAGTCTTGATTTAAAAAAACACTATCTGGTTTAATACCAAAGCACTTTGAGCTTTCGTCAGGTTACCTTGTAAGTAGCTAGAATATAAACACTTAATCATCTACACATGCCTTATTCAGACTTTGACCTGTCAGGGAGCAACAGACAAGAAGAACGGTGAGGAAATAAGTACAGTCATTTATTGTGGGATTGGAGTGACTCACACTCTTAATAGGCATACTGATATTGGGAATATACAAGTGACTATTCCCTCCCAGAGTATAAAGACAGAGCTGCTAATAAAACAAAACATGAAATATTTGGATGTTTTCAAACAATTTATTACTACAAATGACTGCACTCACTGCATTGAGTTATATGAAAAGATTGGTAAGAGATTGCAGGCAAAATGAAGGCATCCGCATACAGTGGGGTGAAAAAGTGTTTGCCTCCTTCCTTATTTCCGTTTTTTTTATGTTTATTACACTGAAATGGTTCAGACCATCACACAAATTTACATATGAATGCCACCAGAAATACATTTAAACACAAAATGCTGTTTCGAAATAAAAGTGTTTATTATTAAGGGGGAAAAAAATCAAAACCTACATGGCCCCTGTGTGAAAAAGTGATTGCACCCTACGCCTAATAACTGGTTGGGCCACCCTTAGCAGCAACAACTGCAATCAAGTGTTTGTGATAACTGTCAATGAGTTACAGAGAGCAGAGAGCTGCTTTCTGGTATGCACCACAGTTCATGAACAAACTACAGTGTATAATAAACTTTGAAACTCATTACTCATCAATCAGTTTGGAAAATTGGGAAATTTTGCGTATTTATTTATTTATGAATTCAGTAAATGAAAAAACAAGGGATTCTCCCAAAAAGGTGTTTTACAGCATTCACCAAAAACTGATTGTTGGTGTCGTAAATGACTTGTTAGCTCCTGATCTGGCAAACATACCGGAAACATATGTCTTAGTAGTGATAAGTCATTTTGAGCAGGAAAGAGCATTCTTGTGACAAGGTAAAAGCTACAATTTTTTAGCTTTAATTAACTATAAAAACCTTGCATCACAGTTATGTACACATCATTTATGCTTAAAAAAGGACTTAATTTATTATAAAGTAGGACTAATAACGCAGAGCCTTGAAAAACTGTTATTTGAAAAACAGGTTATTTTTTTATTTTATATACAACCCTTTCGTAAATCTAGTTTACTAAAATCTATTAGAGCAAATATATTAGACATTGAAAAAAAGTGATCGTCTGCCAAAAAGTGACTGCCCGTGTTTAAACTGCTGTACATGACTTGCTGGCCTATAATATTTGAAATATATGTCAAAAGTAATCTTCATGAATGATATCAACTCATCTTGAGCTACACACAACATTCCTGTCACAAGGTAGAATTTTAGAAGTGACTGTTATATATCCTTTAGCCTATGTATCCCGTTAAAAAAGTCTCACTGGCATTAAAATTTTATTTTTTAAGAGCGATCTGGCAAAGACAGCAGCAGCATGACAATATAGATATTTTAACTGGCCAAAAAGGACCGGGTCATAAAGATACTTGCAAAACTGGTAATTATTTTATATATAGTCTAAAGTCTATTTATCAATATATGTAAAGACATTACACATAATTTAAAAAAAAACAAAAAACACACATAGAAACTTGAAATCACTTTTTGGCAGACCAGCACTTTTTGGTGCAACGCCGGTCCTTTAAGGCTTGTATTAGGCATGCGCGGTACGCATGCCTAATACAACGGACGCGAGTCCGGTCGCCATAACAACGGTTTGTTTCTATGTGATGTGATAGGACCTTATTAGAAGTCATAATGAAACTCAAGCGGTTTCTCCTCAGATATTATCCGCCAGGTAATACAAGTTATGTTTGTAGTCCTATCTAAAATGTTGCTTCTCATGGAGGTCATATGACTGTGCCTAACCTTCATATTAAATCGTTATGGCCTAAAGTTTGTCTGACATTAGCTAGTTAGCTAACGCTTTTCAAACTCAAATCGGCAGAAGGGTTAGATAGTTTGTCATTATAAGACATAACAGGTTAAGTTAACTAGAACCCAGGTGTTGTAATGTCAGCCTCTCTTTAATTCTTTTATTTTTCATTTTTTTATGCTGTCAGGTATAATCCTTGAATACGAGAAAGGAGGATTTCTGAGGACCAAATCAATAGATCTTTTGGATTTGACTCCAGAGTGCGTGAGTTGTACCTGTTAGGATCTCTCTCTCTCTCTCTCTGCGTGCGTGTGTGTGTGTGTGTGTGTGTGTGTGTGTGTGTGTGTGTGTGTGTGTGTGTGTGTGATCTCAGCACTGAAGATAATGTCAATAACAAACTGTTACAACCTACGGTTACATTACCACTAAAAAACGACTTTCTGCAGACTAAGACCCTATTTAAAAACACTTTGTAACCATGTTGCATTTATTATGAAGTTGGACTGTGGAGGAGTTGCAATTCCTTAATGTGGCATTACATTAGACTAGAGATTTCTTTTAAATGACCCATTTCCTTTAGGAATACCAACATTACTCATTTCAGCTCTTACTGGCAGTCACAAGGGTGTAAATCTGACAACACGGGGAGTGATATTTTAACACACATTAAACATACTTTGGTGAAATTGTAGAGTAAATGTAATCTTTGTTAAGCTGTATTTGTTATCCTAAACCCCCTTTCTGTTTCCATTTTCTTTCCCTTTTCTGTTCCTAATGTCTTGGTTTTTTTTGGTTTGTTTTTGTTTTTTGTTTTTTTTACATTTTTTTTCTCTCTTTTGCCATCAAGCTACCTAAAATTACAAAAAGACTTATCACATTTTATGTTTTAAAATTGTAGAACAAATCCAGATGAGTTGGTGGAAGAAATCAGACAATCAGAGCCTCTGGTCACAAAGGCTCAGGCTGATCAGGTCAAACAGCTGGTTATTCGACTTCAGAAGAAACAGACCCAGCAGGACCATCACAGGTTCTGTTTCTCCAAGGTCAGACACAAAACAGCAGTAAATAAATCAACACGTAGACATGACGCTTACAAGGAATTCCTGCTAGTGAAGACATTTATCTATTTCCCTCACATTGTTGAAAGTTATTTGGTGCTCCTTGTAACCTTGATTTTAATGAAAGAATGGTTTTATGAACTAAAGTTTATTTTGTCTGTGAAACATGGCACACGTGTTGCTTATTGAGTTATGATATTAATGCTTTTATTCCACACAGACTGTTGGAACAGTAACATTTTTGCAGCATGAATAAACGGGCACAATCCATTAGCTCGGCGATTAGCAGATGCTATTTACATATGTGGAATGTGATTTGTGAAATTAGTAACTACTGTTTTAGAGAGGCACTAGAAAGCAGCAGTGATCGGGTTACTAAGTCGCTAGTGCTTCATGCGCATGTATTAGGGGAGTTAAATGGAAGTCAGGGTCAGTTGCATTGCTGGAGATCAGAGGTTACTGAATTTATTTTGCCTGCATCTAAAAATTGGGAGATCTTTCTGTTCTTAATGAGAGCAGAAAGTTATTCCACCAGTGGTGGGCCAGGAGGAAGAAGCCTTCACATTACATTATAGTCAAATGAATTATACATACAGAAGTTACATGGGTAATTTTAAAGATGAATGTAGATGAATGTAGTCAATAACTAAATTGGATTTTTCAGACCAGTTTCAATTTTTTTTCCAGGAGCTCAAGGCACACATATTGCCACTGACAAATGTTGCCTTTGACAAATCTGGGTCAAGGTGAGTTTTTAACACTGAGTAACCTGCCACTTTGTTGTTTAGGAGAAATTACAGTTTGTGCAATTCCCCCTTTTCTCTCACACTGCAGGTTTATAACTGGGAGTTACGACAGGACATGTAGAGTCTGGGACACAGCCTCAGGCACAGAGCTGCACGTGCTAGAGGGTCACAGAAACGTGGTGTATGCAATTGCGTTCAACAACCCTTATGGGTAATGAGCTGTTTTAGGAAAACCTTTATAACATGGGAGGGTCGCATTGCTCAATTGAAGATTCACATCAGTGTTTCATCTTAAAAATGAATGTTTCATTGCTTTATTTTCTCTCTATTAAACTTAGAGACAAGATTGCGACTGGCTCTTTTGATAAGACCTGCAAACTGTGGTGTGCCGAGACTGGCAAATGTTTTCATACTTATCGGGGACACATGGGAGAAATAGTATGTATAATGATTTGTTTTAAATGAATTTCATTTGTGTTAGTTTTTGGTTGATTGCTGATTCATATTTGAAACACAAGTCAGTATTTAAGCTATGTGAGCATTTAAACTACAAGGTTCTGCTATGGTATTGTGTTTAGTACTTTAACAGGACCTATAATTTTATTTACTGTCTACATTTTTATTCTTGGACTCATAGTAGCTTTGCATGATTTACAAGTAATCTCCATTTATCTAAGACTGAGCCTTGGGCAGCTTGTTTCATCTTCTGTCTGAGGCAAGATATTTTACTCCCATTAAGTCCATCTGCTCTCTAAATGAGCTTTTTTTTTCTGATTGGCTGTGATTGACTCACAAACAAGAGGTTGGGTTGGGCTGCTGTAAGCATATGGGTGAGATGACCATATTCAGTAAATTGCCATATCAAGCCAAGAATAGAAACAACTGTTTCAAATCGAGAGTTTAGAGCAGTTCATATGCCATATACTATTCAGCTTTGCTACAGAATACAATACAACCTAAGTAAAAAAATTTTGTAGGTGTGTCTTGCATTCAACCCCCAGAGTACGCTGGTGGCCACAAGCAGTATGGACACCACTGCCAAGCTGTGGGATGTGGAGAGTGGGGAGGAAGTGGCCACACTGACTGTGAGATACCCTTTCCTCAAACTCTGTCCCATTGCTTTTCTTGCTCTTCTTATCCTGGTGTTGTGACCCACATTCATTCATTAATGATGATTCATTAACTTTTTAGTCACTTGTGAAAGTGACATGAATGCTGTCAAGTGCTCTTGATGACCAACATTTGATAGGAATGTGACAAACTCTTTAAGAAGGCACTGATAGCCCTCTCTAAGGGGAGTAGTGAGACCTCTTTAATGTGCAGACTGCACGTGGGTTTATAGTGTGACTTGCTGAATCTGTGTCAGCAAGGAGCAACTCTCTGCCCCTCTCAATTCACTTAGCTTCTCACACCATGAAGAATCAGTAATGCAGTCAACTGAGTGCAGATTCTTTAATCTGTTCTTTTTTTTTTAAGTTAACTTCAATTTTATAAATCTACCGGTAAGGCTAACCTGTGTATTTCTGTTAACAAATTCAGGAGACTATAATGTGGGGGGCTCACACTAGCTATGACACCATTTAGTTGCCAGACTGCACACGCCTTTGAAAACATTAAACATTATGCACAAAATACCTCAAATGAGCCCTAAAAAGTAAAATAAATGAGGGACAGGTGATCAAAGTGGGTGCGAGCCACCACTTATGAATTGGACCACACTTACCTTCAAACTCATTCTGATCTTAAATACACACTTCTAAAGTTTGGAGGCTGTACTTTGCACTGTTGGGACAAATCCATCCAAGGACAGTAAGACATAAACACCTGCCAAAGTTCTTAAAGCTGCCTTTGATGTAGTTCCTTCTAGGACAACAGCCCCACTTTTCTGCAGGGACACACACACACACACACACACACACACACACACACACACACACACACACACACACACACACACACACACACACACACAAGGTGAAAATAATCAGCTGTATAAGCCACACTGTTGTGGTTGGTAAATATTTGCATTTTATGATGCACTTTTTCATCCATCCACTCCATGTGAGTGGCTGTGAGGGAGAAACGAAATAAGACAGTGAGAGATAATGCCATCTCCTTTCAGGGTCACACCGCAGAGGTCCTCTCGCTGTGCTTTAACACAGTGGGTAGTCAACTTGTCACCGGTTCCTTCGACCACACAGTCACTATATGGGATGTTGCTTCAGGAAGGTCAGAAGTTATCAATATTATGCATCCATTTGTGCATGTGTCATCATTTATACTTCACAGAGAATGTAACACTTATCGATTCTGCCTTACAAAGCTGTGAGACTGATTAATTGCTGTTCAATTCCTTGTTTTTTCCCCTAGACGGGTCCACACACTCATTGGTCACATGGGAGAAATAAGCAATACTCAGTTTAACTGGGATTGCTCCTTGATTGTTACTGGTTCCATGGATAAAACCTGCAAAGTAAGCTATCATTAAGCCCAAATATCTTTTTTTTGTTCCCAAAATCTCTTGTCAGAGGCTGAAAACATGTCTGTTTGTATTTACCGTCTTCAATTTCCCACTCTCTCGCAAACTCCTGTGTCTAAGGTCTGTGGAGAAAAATTAAATCCTAATTCCTTAATTACACCAAGATGAGTCACGCTCACAAGTGAGAATTATCCACCTCGCTGCATTCCTCTGAGGGAGATGGCCATAATAAAGCCACTTCAGAGTTTAATGCTACATTCACAAATGCATACTTCATGAGTTTGGTGTTTCCATGCTCCATGATGAATGCATGCTCCAGTTATGTAGTTCGCTCCTGTGTGCATGTATAATTCTGTTTTTTGACATGTGTAAATGTGTTCGCAGGTTTGGGAGACTGTCAGTGGGAAGTGTGTTGCCACCCTCACTGGACACAAAGAAGAGGTGTTGGATGTGTGTTTTGATTTAAGTGGTCAACTCATTGCTACTGCCTCAGCTGATGGTGAGACAACACTTCAGTCAAAAGATTACATTCCGAGTAAAACTGTACTAGCACGGTATTACAAACGTACCCTAAATATACTACTTGTGCAGAATTTAAGATTCTGCATTTAAAGATTTCTACAAATACCTAAGCTGTATTGGTTGTATAAATTTGGATTTTCCACAACAAAAGCAACATTTTTATAATTTTGTAAGCTGTGCCTGTGTGCTGAAAACTCTCTCTCTTCCTGAAACTCTCAGGGACAGCAAGAGTGTTCAGTACAGCAACACATCAGTGTCTTGCAACCTTAGAAGGCCACGATGGCGATATCTCCAAGGTAAGTTGATGAAGCCAAACTGTCTGTTCTAAAAGAACAATTTAAGTTATGGCTATTTTTTGTCATCTATTTATCTGTAATTAAATGAAAAAGCATAACTGTGTTGCTCAAGCTTTTTCAGCATTTTATCACTCTTCTCAACTTTGTGAGTATTAACTATTATTTTAACTTGTAAAGCGTAACCCTGCCCCTTGGTACACCTTACGTATATCAGGTTTTTGCTGTTGAAAAAGCTGGGTTAAGGTGAGTTTAGACATGTTTTGGCATTTTAAATAATGCTTAATCGTTACTAAGGATGCCGAAGTTTGCCATACCCCATACCATTATACCACCAGCAGCCTGAACCTTTGATTCAGGGGTCAGGCTGCTTTCATGTTGTTTTCACCAAATTCTGACCGTACCATCTAAACGTTGCAGCAGAAATTGAGACTCAAGTATTTTCACCCAGAGAACTGTCGATCACTGGATATTTTCTCTTTTTAGTCCACCCTATGGTTGTAGGTAAATTTCAGTAGACAGTAGTAGAGCTGGACCGATCCGATATTACGTATCGGTATCGGTCCGATACTGACCTAAATTACTGGATCGGATATCGGAGAAAAATAAAAAATGTAATCCGATCCATTAAATATCAGGAAAGCACCTCACAAAACTTGCAACACGCCGTAACTCACCTCAGAACGTTAGCACGTCGGAGCAGTATGCATCACGTGATAGAGCGGCTGTGGCATGCGGGACCTGTCGGTGGTCTGGATAGCATTTGGAGCTTCGCTAGCAACCCGGCATTTCATCTCCGACAAAGTTATCCCCGAGAGAAGTAAAGCAAATGTGTAAGTCCATCTCTGAATGTTTGTAAAGCATTCCTGCATTAAGCTTAACAAGCGACTGCCTCTTCTTGCTGCTACTTCAATCATGAAACTGCTTAATGATCAGCTGATCGGCTTTTCTGTCACGAGTCCGTCTCTTTTGTTTGTTTTTGGCCCACTTCGCGCCAGAAAGAGGAAACCAGCGGCTGAACAACAGCGGCACGTTTAAGCTTGATAAGCTGTTGTTAGAATTTATTTATTATTACTTTCTACACCACGATCCTTTTCTACGCAGCTGACGGCTGGTAACTGTGCAGGGGCGGATCTAGCAAAGTTTAGCCAGGGGGGCCGATAGGGCATTAACAGGGAAAAGGGGGCACAAAGACATACTTTTCTTTCTTATTCTCATTTAAAATGTCTAGCTTTTAAAAAATAATTATCTGACACCCAAAGTTTTAATTTGATGTAAAATGAATAGAAGTCAATTACTGTATATAGTGACTATTAAGTCTAATATATATACCCTAGTAAGATATAGTACTTTTTCCTTTGGGAAGGTACCATCTGTGCAGTCTGCAATTTTGTTGAAGAAAGATGTTGAATCTATTTAATATTTCTTGAAAAATAATTGATTTCTGTGCATTTTTTTTCACACTGCATCAAATTAAGGTTGATTACGTCGATTAAGCATCATGAGGTGGAGCGTGAGGGGTGGTTCCCCATTTTTTATTTATTTTTGTTGTTGCTGGGAGTTGGAACCCTATTAGTTAGGTTGCTTAATATTTATGCTAAGTACTCTTTAAAATACCAGAATAGGGAGGATGGTGTAGGTTTAAGTTTATTAGATTGATCAGTATTGCTGAACCATGAAATATTTTTTTTTGCATACAGGTATAACAGAATAGCTTTAGTGTAGTTGTTGTTTTAAACTTGAGTATGAACTTATAGAAAATGCAGCAAGATATTTAAAAAAACAGTTTTGTTGATTAAAAAACACTATATCGGATTCATATCGGTATCGGCAGATATCCAAATTTATGATATCGGTATCGGTATCGGAGATAAAAAAGTGGTATCGTGCCATCTCTAGACAGTAGTTACACTGGCCCATCTGACACCAACAAACATTCCATGCTCAGCGACACTAAAAATCATCTTTCTTCCTAATTCTGATTCTCAATTTGAGGTCTTTTCAACCATGTCTATGTGCCTAATGGGTGCCTAAATGCACTGCTGTGATGCCGTGTGATTGGGCGATTACTTCTTTGTAGCTATTATAGTTAAAGAGCACAGATGTGAGACTGTTATTTTTTTTAAGTTACTGATTTCATAGCAAACTTTTACCCATTTGTGAGTCTTATGTTTGAAACCATTCAGAAAATGATCTCAGTATTCGTATGGCAAATGTAGTAATAAAAATAAGAACAAATTATTAAGTATTCTATAACCAGGGCCACAGCCACAACTTTGGGCATGCGTCATGCAGCTAGCAGCTGTGAATAAACTTGTGATTTTTGTGTAATATTGACTCAGACCACAGTTTTCCTCGCCAGTGCTTTAAATAGGTCATTTTTTAAAATTACCTAGCTAACATGTGACAGAGTTTGATGCTGAAATGGAGGGACAGGACTCGAAGCTTCAGGATGTTTTGAGTTATCGCCAGAAATCTGTGAGCACAGTTCTAAACCTGATTAACATGGCCTACTAGTAGTAACGCAAGCACATACATGCGAGTACTCTGGCATGGGGCACTGCTGTCTGACCCTGCACTGACCTTGTTCTTTATTTGGAGCGATATCACCCATTTAATATTTGTCAAGTGCGATGCTCTGCACGAGTGTGGGTTTTCCACAGGTTCTGGCTCAGAGGGCTTCTCTGTGTGCATTTACTAAAACACATTAGACAGCCAGTAATAAACAGGCTGGATGGAAGACGATTCCAGGGGATTATGACACTAATCTCTCCCTAACAGGACACCAGCCATCCTCCTGTCCATGCTTCTTAACCATTTTCTTCCCCATGTTTTTTTCCTTCTATTTCAGTATCTCACTCAGTAAGCTTTTAATTTTATTTTTATTACATCTCGGTCACTGCTGTAGTAAATTCACTTTGCTACCCTTTTGTTTGTGAATGATAATATATTATAAATGATGGAATGCTAATTAAATGACTAGTTCTAAAGGTCTAAAGATATTTTCTTCTGTGTGGAAGATGGTATAAATCAGCATTCCCCAACCTTTTTTGCGCCATGGACCGGTTTATGTCCAACAATATTTTCACGGACCGGCCTTTAAAAATAAAACCAGTATCGGTAGCAAAAAAAAAAGAAGATTTATCCACAACACGGGAATAGACCCAGGGAAACCGAGTTAATGAGAAAAACGATAAAAAAAATAACGATAAAAATCCTGAAAACCATAACTTTCACACTCAAGCCTCAACTCTCGCGGCCTGGTACCAAACGACTCATGGACCCGAGGGGTTGGGGACCGCTGGTATAGATAGCTTCTCATAACTGTGTTTTCAAACTAAGCATTAAGAGGACTCTTTCCTATTCTGGATGTTCCATTTGCTTTATTCTTGCCCTTAATTCAAATCAAAATGACAATCTAATGGAAAAAATCAGTGTTTGATTAAATTTGTAGAGCCCATTTACAGCATGCTCCAAACTTTCATTGAAAAAATCCATATGGTGTAGGAAGTAGCATTTTTGCAGGTCCTTGTTGAAATGTGTTTTAAAATTAACTTTTACCTTAAAGTTAGCCTCTACATCTAACCAACAAAAATGGTTCTCGTAGTTTTGAGTCATTCTTACGCTACAAACAAGATGTGATTGGTTAGGCCAATGTAACCTAGTGACCATGCAAGAGAGACGATATTGAGTAATGCCAGATTAAACAAATGCTTTAGCCTTGTTAATCCTTCCTCCATTTTATATATACAGTTATATAAAAAGGAAAGTTCACTTGCTTCCAGTCTGGTAAAAATAATCTCAGATTAACAAGAACACATGACGTATTATATGGTGTCATTATTTATTTAACACAGTGGTGTCCAAACCCAGGCCTTGAGGTTTTAGATGTGTCCTTGTTCCAACACAGCTGAGTTAAATGGCTAAATTACCTCCTCAACATCTCTTGAAGTTCTCCAGAGGCCTGGTAATGAACTAATCATTTCATTCAGGTGTGTAGACTCAGGGTGAGATCTAAAACCTGCAGGACACCTGCCCTCGAGGCCTGGAGTTGGCTAAGAACACCCTTGTTCAGGGCTGCCCAATCCCAGTCCTCGAGAGCTACTATCCTGCAGCTTTTAGATGCATCCCTACTCCAACACAGCTGAATCAAATGGTTTGATTACCTCTTCAGCATGCCATCGTGTTTGGCAAAGGCCTGATAACAAGCCATTCATTTGATTCGGGTGTGTGGGAACAAGGATGCATCTAAAAGCTGCAGGACGGTAGCTCTCGAGGACCGGGATTGGGCACCCCTGTCCTTGTTGCTTCCATAGGGGTTAAGAGGACAAGTAACTGCTAACTGTTGCAAATCAAATGTATTTATTGATCATCAGCATCAGTTAGCATGCTAAATGTTAAAGTTCATAATGGCATAAAGAGAAACAGACTGAACAAGTTTGGCTTGTTTGTGAAGGTGCCTGGAGAAAGCAATATCCTTTTAACAGACAAGACCACAGTGGAGATGTTTGTCCACAATGCAGTGTTTATGAGGATATTTCCAAAACTGCGAAATAGAAAATGTATATCGACACAAACACCTCATACAAACTGTCAAGCACAGCGGTAGAGGGGTGATGGTTTAGTCTTAGTTTGCAGCTGCAGGTCCGGGGCAAGTTGGAGTCACTGAGGTGTCTGTGACGTTTTCTGTATACCAAAATATTCTAGAGCCAAATACGAGGCTTGGACTAAGTTATGTAATGAAGTGGGACAGTGCTTCTAAACAGACCAGCAAATCTACAACAGAATGGCTGAAAAGGTAAAGAGTCAGGGTGTTGCAATTGCCCGGTTTAAGTCGAGAACTCAAACTGATTAAAATGCTGTGACTGGAGCTTAAGAGAGCTGTACACATGAATGACCTAAGTGATCAGTCTAGCTACTTAGTATTTTTATCCTTGAGGTATTGATTCTATCGCTAGTTAGCTAACATAAACTAATGTAAGGCAGCAACCAACAAAACAACCCTGTGACGTCTTGTTGTGTACTGACACAACATATGACCTTAAAAACACTTATTTCTTAAATCCAGCTTCTCAGACAGTGACATTGGACTAGTGCTCCATGATGTAATTTAGCCTTTCTACACATAGTGTTTCATGTCCACTTTAATATGCAGTATGCAACTGAGACACTCATCAGCTTTGTTTATTTTTTATCTCATTCCTTTACTCTTTTTGATCTTTTTCTCTTCGCTGTCCATTTTAAAACATCAACCTTCCATTTTGGCACCTGTCATAGCTTCCACCCACACACACACCCCACCCACACCTCAATCTTCTATCCTTGCCAGCTTCTTCTCTAGACAGTTTCCATTTCCTGTCTGGGGGTCTCTCGTTGGCACTGAGTTTAGAATTTTAATAAAAAAACATACTTTACTTTCATGGCCATCTAGGGCCAACTTCATTTAATCATCCCTTCCTTTACCTCACTGTTAGGATATAAAACCACTCAGGGAATGATAAACCCAGACTATAATACAATCAGTTTCAGCCATGATTTTCATAACGCTCCTCTATCATCTCAGAGTAGTTCCACTGGTGCCTTTATCCTCCTTAAGCATTTTAAGTTGAATGACCTCAATGGAATAATGCTACTGATATGGTAAAATTGGTCTAGACTCACCCATTTCCACCCCTCATGTCATTTCTACTTTCTCTGGCATAATCTCTTATTCAGCAACTTTGTTGCAAATGTACCACAACCCTTGAAAAAAGGCTAACTGTCCTGGCTCTGCCTCTCTTGGTAGATCTGTTTCAGCCCTCAGGGCACCAGAGTCCTGACTGCCAGCTCAGACAAGACAGCTCGGCTCTGGGATGCTCACTCTGGAGTCTGCTTACAAGTCCTGGAGGGGCACACAGACGAGATCTTTTCCTGCGTCTTCAACTACGAGGGTGACACAATCATTACAGGTACATAGAACTGACACAGAAAACACACATAAACCCCATCTGACCATCGTACACTGTTAAAATGTAGCTGTAGGAGGCAAATGTACTCTTCATCACAACCGTCACAAATGCTTAATTGCAGTTTTTAGATGAAAAGCATGCAGCTGTGTCCTTCTGTGCAGCTATCCATTTGTATTTGTGCTTCCCTGCAGGCAGCAAGGATAACACATGCCGGATCTGGTACTGAACATTACCTGAGGCTCAGGAGGGCATTTACATGAACACAACAATCAAATTGTGTTTGCCAAATATTGCCCACTTTGTGTCTGCTCGATTGTGGACTACTGTAAAAGAAAAACACAAAAAAATCACAAACTCCTGCTCAGTTTAAACTTTGACTTCTGTGTGAAGTTAATGTGGTCCTAGAAATCAACAGCAGCTTGGAATCTCTGCTCAGAAGATGTCATCAAAAGGAGTCCAATTCTTCAATTTCAAAAGCTGTTTGTTTTGTTCAAGCAATAATTGACGTTATAGGAAATAGATGGATTAACTGTACATCATATAGTACCAGGGTTTCAGGTAACTTCACATCATTGTAGGAGTGCCCACCTGATGAGAAAACACAGGCTTTCCTTTGCTTCCCACCACTATTTTTTGCTATACAACATGCTGAATGAGTCTGACTCGGTTCACAGTGACAAACAAATCACACAGCAACGCTTGCAAAGTCCCTTCCATACAAGTGCAACGTAAAAATCACATACATTCCTCCTTGTCCACACTAAGGTTGTTAGTCATGGGTAATTTAAACTGACATTGGAAAAAAGCTCTGATTAGATTTATGTCATGTTACATTGTGTACACTGTTAAGATTCAGTATTGAGGAAGGGTACAAGAGGTGATCGAAGAATAACCACACTGGTCCGGCCGGGTGAAGTCAAACGAAGATTTTAATGAATACACGCGTGGGAAGAAAACTCTGTACGCAGACAGGAAGTAGTCTTCGACTTAATCAAAGCATGAACAGATATTTTATAGCATCAGGGTTTGTTTACTGACGCCCCTTCATGCGTCACAGATACATTTTATACATAGATCAGATCAACATCATCATGACTTTTTACCTAGAAAATCATCTTCTATTTTCATGGCTAGCCCTTCCTGTCTACCTTTCAGTTCTTGTCTTGTTCCTCTTTCTTGCCGAGACACCAAGAAACGGTTCCTCTTTTACCAAGACAATTTTGCAGTTACAGCCAAACATAACTAACCTCTCCTCTAAATAAATCTAATTTAAAGTGTGTGTGTGTGTGTGTGTTGAGCTCACATGCTCTTTGTGTCACCTCTTACACTTCTGACCTTTTACCAGACCAGAAGCTCACTGAGACTATGTGTATGTCTTCTACTAAATAAATGTTTTAATCAAGAACCTCTACTAAAACCTTAATATAAAATGATAAAGCTATCTGTTACATTGTTAAAGCCTCGTCTTAGCCTGCGGCTCAAAATAACTTCCTGCTTCTTTCTGCATACAACTTCCTGTCAGCCTGCAACTCAGTCTTTCTGAAAGAGACACTGTCTAAACCTTGGAATGCAATATCCATGCTGCAAATTATATTATTAATGCAATAACAATTATTTAACAATAGCAGTAAAATAATTTCCCTCCTCGACACTCCCCCTTTTGACCTCTGGAAAACCAGAGGTCACAATACATTGTGTCCTCACGCAGACCCTTCTCTGGTGGTCTCGAACCTCGAGATCTCCAGGATCCTCGCCCCTCCTGTGGTCGCCGAGATCAGTCTTCTGCAAAGGAAACAAAACACCTTTTCTTGCATCTCCCTAACTTATCCTATCTGGGACTCTTTAATTAAAAGCCTGATCCTAATTATCTTCTTAACTTATGGACTTGTATTTATGTATACTCTTCAACGTTACTCATCACTTTAAAATTCTTTTAAGCGCTGGTTTCACGTCCAGTTGCTCGCTCTACTTTCCCTTATTTGATCATCAACATCCTATGCACAAGTTGTCGCTGCTGCAAGCTAATCTACTCCAAAAGAAAACAACCACTTCAATCAATTAAGTTTAAGCATATAAGCAATTACTCCTGTATACATTTCATCATAGCTAAATGCTGCCTTGAAACAACTCCTATGTGTTAACACTAACTTCATTTTAAAACCTCACATTTCCTATGTTATCACCTGTTTTGGTATAACCTTTTTATTTCATTTTGCTCCCTTAATGTAACAATACCTTCTAATTCTAATGTATCAGACTTAACCAAAATATATGCTTTCCTTCCTCTTTGGTCCTTCTTTAAGTTCAGTTAAAAGCTAAATGAATTTAGGGCCTTTTGCCTGGAATCAATACTGTCATGTGTGTTTCTTAACTCTGTGTCTGTAAGCGTGTGCAATCCTTCATGAACTCATATTATCCTCACAGTAGATTGGCTAATCATAGCGCTAGCCAAAGGCTCGTGACCCTCCAGAGACAAATTTGAGCCACAACTCCTTTAAAAGCACAAAATGCAATATGTATAAAATAGTTATAACTGCACCTGAAATACAAAGTTAACATCATCATAAACATCTTATGGTCATCAAAGCAATGGGCAGGGCTGCGACCCAATTTAGCCCTGTCTGCACAAATTTTAGCCAACTTGTTTTTCAAATTTAGGTTCATCCTCCCTACCTCTTGCAAATCTTTATTCTTGAAGTGAGTACCATTGTCTGATCTAATTCTCTTGGGAAACCCATGCCTTGGAATGTAATGATTAAGCACTTAATCACGCTTTTCGCGTCTTCACATTTGGTCGCCCATGCTTCGGGCCATCCAGTCAAAACATCCACACACACCAACAAATACCTCACCCCACCTGGGCCTGTATCAATCATGTCGGTATAATCAATCACGACCTCTTCTCCTGGCCTTCCTGGCATGAGAAACTTACCAGCTTCAGGTTTTACTGCTGGCTTTGGGTTGTGTGCCCCACAAATTAGGCACGTTCTGGCCTTTTCCAGTATCATCCTTCTCAAATCAGGATGCCACCATCGGCACAAATTTCTCTCCATCTGTTTCACTCCCACGTGACCAAGCCCGTGAGCCTCATTCACCTTTTGTTCCGCCATTTTGGCCGTTAAAGCGGGACGCCCATCTGGCCCCCTCCACAAACCGCCATCTTGCCAGGCTCCTTTGTTTTCCCACACCCCCTTTTCCTCTGGGGATGTCTCCTCCTGAGCCTGTCTAACTTCTCCCATGCTATTAGTGCTACCCTCCTCTTCTGGGGTTACCTGCACCAGTTGTCTCTGTCCTTTGTAGCCCGCTGCTTCCTTTGCGGCTTCGTCAGCTTTCTGATTTCCTCTTGCCACCATACTGTCTGCTTGTGAGTGGCCTTTGCATTTTATAATACTTACCTCGTCTGGGTCCTCCAGGGCCTTTTTGTAACAGATGGGTGCATTAGTGGCCGTTCTGAACCCGGCTCTCTTCCACTGAGCCAGTTCCACATGAGCTGCTCCAAACGCATATGCTGAGTCAGTGTAGATGTTCACTCTCATGTTTTTAGCCAACCTCAGGGCTCGAGTTAGGGCTATCACTTCAGCTCTCTGGGCCGACTGTTGTCCCTCGATTTTTCCTTCAACCTGGGCTTTCTTAATACAGTCATGTGGTTCTCCTGACCCCATTAGGTCTGCCATATTTATTCCTTCATGTGTGAATACCAGATTTGGCGCCTCTAAAATTTTGCTGAACCTTTGTTGCGTCAGTGGAGTCATTGTGAATGCCTGTGAGTTCACATAGGCCACTACACTGTGTGTAGTAAGCACTTTCAGTGGGTGTTCCCTCACTATATGTGCTGTTTTCTGAATTATCTTTGCTACTCCTGCTGCGTGTTGTGTGCATGTGGGATGCCTTGCTTCTGTTGAATTTAATCTTATGCTGACATACATAAGTACATCCCTACCTCCCCCTTTTTTCTGAAACAACACACCATTCACAACTCCCTTTGTTTCTGAAACATCAAGATGAAATGCCTCATCATAGTTAGGTGTGGCCAGATCTGTGGCTCTTGACAAATCCTGTTTTAGTGAAATGAACGCTGTCTCTGTGTCCGGCGTCCAAGGCAATTCAGCCTTCAGAATTCGAACACCAACTTTCTTGATCAGATCCCTTAAAGGGGCCGTTTTACCCGCATAGTTCGGAATGAACTGCCTGCTGTAACCTGTCAAGCCAAGAAAGGAAAGCAACTCCTTCACAGTTCTTGGTTTTGGATGTGTCAGAATTTGGTCTCTGTGTGTGTTCATTAACCCCACTGATCTGTGTGCGATCACCCGGCCCAGGAATGTTACCTCTGGCCGGACCAACTGCAGTTTTTCTTTGCTCACTTTGAAGCCACACTCCGCCAATCTGTTCAACACCACGAGCGATGCTGCCGTACAGGCCGCTGCTGACGGGCTGCAATAAGAAGATCATCAACATACTCTATTAATGTACAGCCCCCTGGCAGTTGACATGGGGACAATGCCTCTTTCAACACCTGATTAAAAATTCCTGGTGAGAGTGCAAAGCCTTATGGTAGACGTGTGTACCTAAATTTGCGGCCTCTGTATGTGAATGAGAAAATGTCTCTGAGTGACTCGTGCAGTGGGAGACAAAAGAATGCATTTGCTAGGTCAATACATGTGAACCACTTTTGGTCTTCAGTTTTGTGCTTCTATTATGGTCTGTTAAATGGTATGTCATACTTCAGCCGGAACAGGACAGGCGAACAGTTAGCTAGACCCACATCTGTGGGCCCTGCGGACCACAAAGTACCAGGCAATTTTGAGAGCTCAGCTACTGCATCAGGATGATCCATTCTTTCCCTGCCATGTATTCTGGAGATTTCTTTATGTTCTAAGATCACTGCATCGTTGGACAAACAAGTTATGCGATATATTTTACATTTTGGTGCATACCAGACATTTGGAATTTGGGTGCCTTGCCAGCATGCGTTGTCCAGCGCCCGCTTGACCATTGGTCCCAGATCTCTTGGCCCATGACCCTCGTGGACCGCCAATGTAATGTGAGGGGCTGAATCCTCTCCCACATTGTACCAAGGCAGTTGTTCATCAGTAAATTTCACAGCCGCGGCCACACCTTCTGGTCCAACATAAATGTTATGTGTTTGCACATTCCACGTCTGTCCCTCAAGATCAGACTGGAACTGTTCCCGATAGATATCGTTATCTTCCCTATCATAAAAGAGTGTAACGTGGAAAGGATCTCGCGGAGGGGAATAGACGGCCAGGCTCATTATCCAGGGTTTCCACAGCTGATAATGTCTCAGAATACCTTCTTCCACTAGCCTCCCCCAGTAGATTTCGGCAGTGGGTTGTTCAGAGTTCTGGACTTA